CAGTTTGCAAAACGAACCAGAGAAACAAAAATATAAAGTTGAGTTCTTACATAGTTTGTATAATTTGATAACATTTTAAAATCAGTAAAATATTAAGTAAATTTTAGGGTTAATATAATTGAAACTGAGTGTTTCCATAATTTTTAATTATTTCAAGTCATTATTATTTAAGGTTTTAAGTTTGTAATTGATTTTATATATAATCATAATGTTTTCAAATATTAATGTTTGTAATTGTTTTTAATTTAAAAAGACACTGATTATATGTTTGATTTTCTTAAACTGTATAATAAGTAAATTGTTTATCAACTAAAAATTGATTTTCATTGTAATATTCTTACAAATTACATTGAATATTTATCATATTTATAAATTAATTATAAAAATTTAACGCTGTAATTAGTTTTTGGCAATAAAAAAATACAAATTAGCGTTAATAGTGCAAACGGATTGGTAAATCAAACATTGCAACTGATTGGTAAATGAATCACTAAAAAAGAGAGAAAAATTTAAGAATTTTCTATTTTGCTTAACAATGTTACAAATTACATACAAACCTAAAATATAAATATTCAATTTATTTATAAACAAAGTTTCAATGAAAAAAAATATAAATGAACTTCCATTTCTTAAGCAAAAAAATTATTTAGACTAAAAGTTGCTTGTACCAAATGATAAAATGAAAATATAAAAGTTCAACATTTATACATTATTAAAAATTAACAGAAACAAAAAAAAGCCTTTAAGACAAAATTTTATAATTGAAACATTTTTGCATTTTTTATAAATAATGATTAGGTGTTTAAGATTTATTAAAAGAAAAAATTTTGTAAACTTTATGGCTCTTCAGCAAACTTCTCTGTTTCAATCTTTTTATAACCCCCAGTATCAATAGAGTGCATAGCTTTTACTTGTTTGTATAAAACAATACTTGCAAGAAAGCATATTATGCTTCCAATACTTATAACTATAACTGCTGTCATTAAGTTATTGTCTCTCTTCCTTTTTGTTTTAGTGCTATCAGCATACATTGGATTAGCTTCACGCTGCATTAGTTCACTATGAACAGTTAATGGAACACGTTTATCACCTACAAAATTGGAAATTATAGCAGAGCCATCTAAAACACGAATATTTGGTTCCTCCAATAACATATCACTGACATTCATCTTAACATATCCAGAAAGTTCATTATGAACACTGGTTGGAATGTTATTATCTATGAGCAAATTGAGAATTGTAGCTGGGCCATCTGAAACATGAACAAGTTTTTCTAAATACTTATCACCAACATTCACCTTAATGCGATAATCTCCAGGTAGTAACAGACGAAAATAATCTCCATTTGCACAAGATAAGATTGTGTGTTTGCGATAACGCTCGCTATTAGGGCCAGCAACATCAATAACAGCATTAGGTATTCCAGTACCATTAGAGAATCTGAAAAAATTTCAAATGAAATCAGACCAGTCAAAATGTTTCAAAGCATTTTTATTAAAATAAAAAATATTAAAATCTAAGTACCAAGCATTTTAGCATGATTCAAATTTTTCAAGTTTCAAGTAAGTTGGGTGTTTCAAATACTAAGTTAATGTTTCTAGAATCAACTTATGAGAACTAATCTAAAAAATTTTCTAACTTATGACAATTTTTGTTAGTGCCAAAAAAAATCCAGACTGGTTCATTAGAAAAATTTAGAAGATTAAACAAAATTAAGAAGATTAAACAAAATAATTACAAACTTTCAAATAACGTTGTGTTTAAAGAATCATTTCATTTTGACAATGCTTACAATTTTATAATTTGAAAACTTCATAACAAAAACAAAAAAAAGGTAAGCTTAGGCATATTCTTAAATCAACAAAATTGAAAGACTAGATTCACCTATATCTTTGGTAATATACGGTACCATTGTTAAGTTACAATTGTAAAGCTTTGATAATATAGTTTATTGTGTAATTCTAAATTTTTATCACTTTAATTTATTTGTTTATTTGATAAGGTTGTTTAGTTGGTATTTTGAATTATTTTATATGCATATATTACTTTAAAATAAAATTTTAAAAAAGCTTAAACAATTATTTACATATATTGTCTTTTTTTGTACTTTATTCATTTAAATATTGTAAAAAATATGCTAGTGTTAAATTTTTATGAAAAAACTATTTTGATTATTTACACAATCCTCTTGTAACTTTAAAAAAAGCTGAAACAACTTTTTGAACAAAAAAAACACAATATATATTGTATGGAAAGATTTTGAATACTTTTTAAAAATTTAAGTATTTTAATTTTAAAAAATTTAAAATTTTAATAAGTAAATTTAAAATGTTTTATAAAATTTTAAAAATAAGTAAAAAATTAAACAAATTTTAAATAAGTTAATAGTGATTATAAATTGCATTAAGTATGCTATAAAAGGCTTTAAAATATCGTCATCATTAAGTAAAAAAACTATTTTGATAGCTTAATAGCTTTTAGATGAAAAACTTGTTTGGCTTGCCAACTTTGGTCAAATAGAATGTTAGTTAAAAGAAATTTTGTTCAATTATGCTACTTTAGAATTAATTTAAATAAGCAACGATGGCATATAAGCAGTAAATTTAAATATCTAGTAAATTTTGTAAATTAAAAAAAAAAAAAAAAATTTTGTATTTGTAAATTTTATGTTCACAAATTAAACTTTTGCATTAATAAATAAGATTAAAAATTATAAAAATTTATTTAAATATAAGTATTCTCTACTATGTTTAACACAAACATAACATAAATGATACAGTTTCATTTTTAATTTTTTTGATGTTGTTATTTTTGGTATACTTTACCAGCAAATTTAGTTTACTGACTGTATTCTTAATCCCCTTATAAAAAAAACGTTAACAAATTATTTTAAAGAATATTATTTATTAGTATGCAAAAATTTTTGTAACTTTCTTAACTTTAAATAAACAACAGTAAAAATGTAAATAAAGAGTTTCTAAATAATAAGAAAAAATAAAAAAATAAAAAAAAAACAATATATTAAAAGTATTGAAAAATCTAAATTAAAGAATAATTGATGTCGAATGAATGATCTTGCTTGTTAATGACAATACTTTTATTTATATAAAAAAAAAAACATTTTTCTTGATCAACTAAATTCATTTTTTTGTTATGCGTTCTAATAACACTTTTAACATGTTTTAATATAACACTTTAAATCTTATATAGCCTGATATAGATTGTTGTTATTGTTTTTTAACCATGATTTTTTGAACCTATTGGAACATTAAACCAATTGGGAACTCTGGGTTATAGGTGGTCCATGAGACTGATTAACACCCTGATATATATATATATATATATATATATATATATATATATATATATATATATATATATATATATATATATATATATATATTTGGAATTTTGACTATTTAATGGTTTAGGTGTCATTAAAATTGGTTTGCAATGTCTTTATTTGCTGATTTATGTTTTTTGATTTATATCTTAACAATTTTAGGCTACTAGCAATATCAAATTAATTTTCAGCATTTTAGGGTGCCAACATTTTAAGCAGGACAAACGGCACTTGTTTAATTAATGACATTTGTGTTTTATTTGTCATGCTGTTTTACTATTTTTTCTTTAAGTACAGTAATTATTTTGTTATCTATTGTCATATAATTACATTAGATTTATATAATACACTTTAAACCATTTTTAAATAATATTTACACATTTTGTATAGTTTGCTTTAATATTTTCTATACAAATAAATTTTTTCTTTTTTAAAATAATTTTTTAGTAAAAAAATTGTCTAAAAGTTCTTAATAACAAAATGGGGAAAAAAGAAGGCATCAATTCTGGAAAAAAAAAACGTTTATTCAATATCTTCTAAAAGATAAGCATTACTTGATAAGTGAAATATCAAGAAAATCTGAGATATCAAGACGCACTGTGAACAGAATCAAAGACAAATTGAAAAATGGCCTCCCATTAGATATTCAGAGGCAAGGCAAATGTGGTCAAAAAAAAAAAATAACATCAGGGAATGCAAGAAAGCTTGCGAAAATGTGAAAGAAAATAGATTTACTACATACTCAGCAATTACTAACAAGTTGTATGAGGTGGGACTAAATGTAGCATCAATCACTGTTCAATGAAGTTTGCACGGATCGGGCATTAGAAGTAGAAGGCTAGCACAAAAGCCAAAATCAACCAATTCTCAGAGAAAAAAGCGCTTGGATTGGGCAAGGAAGTAAACTAGTTTCACTGTTGATGACTGGAAATTAGCAAGTCATTATAATACAAAATTAATTTTTTTCTTCCTAATATTCCAGTGTTAGTACGAAGTGATTGTTTTTATTTTGTTTTCTTCAAGTATGCTTCAGCAATGAGCCTACTATAGAAATTATGACTCAAAAAGGTCAATATGTGAAAGGGGTTCCAATGAAAAATTTCAAGAAGATTTTATAATCCAGACAATTAAACACGTCATCTTTTGGTCAGTTATTAGTGGAAAAGTCTTAAGCCTTGGTCAACTGTACATTGTGGATGGAACCAATACAAAAAAGATCAGAGTGGGCTAATAATTTAATTTATGGATATAATATATTATAATTAGATAATTAAGTTTATTATAGTATAGTTAAGTATAGTTAAGTATAATTAAGTTCATTCAAATGGTTCTTAAATTGATGTTTTCATTCAATTTTTTTATTTTAATTGTTTTTCAATAAAAAGTGAAACAAAAAAATATAATACATATATAAATATATATATATATTTGTATATACATATACAAATATATGTATATGTAATACAATACATATACAAATATATGTATATGTATATACATATATACAAAATAAGAAATTGTAGTATAAATAAATAAGACATTTATGATTTTTATACTTTTATCCCCCCTCATAACTGTTATTATAATTTCAAATAGTTTTGTAATAAATAAAAATAAAAATTTATTAAAAATAAATTTTCATCTGGTTTATGAACCCACCACCCACCCACCCACCCATCCTTTCTCATAATACCTTTGTTGTATAATTTTTTTCTACCTAAATATGGAACTTTATAAATTATAATTTTTAATTAAAACAAAAAACTTGATAAATACTCAATTATTAAACAAAGAAGCAAAGAAATGATTGGTATAACTTAACAATATTAAAGCACAATAGGAATAAGTACTAAGGAAATCAAAATCTCATTTTTTTTTAATTATAACAACAAAATAACAATATTTTAAAGGTATAATAAAAAAGAGATTGTTTAGAGCATATTTTCAAAAATTAAGTTTTTGAATTGCTTGTTTATTTATGTGAGAAAGAACTTTTTGGTGGTGTTCTACTGCACGTAAAAGAAATTCTTTCTGCTCATCATCTTTCGTAATAGATGTTGCATAGTCTTGAATTAGTTAAACAGTTTGTTCTGATGTATCATTTACAGATATCAGTCATTTAATATGCTCAAACTTGTTTAAAATTTGTGTTAACTTTCCAAAATTTTGGGGATTTTGCCAACCAACCACCCTCCTCGTTTGAATATCCGAATAAATATAGAATGTTGCTTGATTTGGTTCAATTAAATCAGTCAAAAAAGGACTTCAGAAGAGGAAATTGTGGAAAGCCTATATCATGTTCACAATTTTCTTTTATATTTTTCAGAATTGTTTTAGTAATTTTAGTTTTATCATGATCAGATACCTTATCAGAAAATAATAAAAGAGGGGACATTTCTTTGGTTAAATACCAAAGATGCTAATTAAATGTTTCCAGGGCAGCAACAGCAACATCATTATCAATTTTTTTATAAACAAGCATTTCTTTGTAGAATTTCAAGTCATTAAATGTGGCATCAATTGTGCTTGTGCACGGAAGCCATATTTTCACATAAAATAGTTAAGTAAATTTACAAAATCTAGATAATTCTCTAGAAAACTTTCTCCATACTCTACCAGGTCAGCAAAAGCAAACATTTTTGATGTGTACAAGATTGCACACATTGAGTAATTGCAAAGCAAGTTGACAACATTCTCGATAACCATCTCTTAATATTTTTCGAGATTTTTGTTTAAGTAAAGCAGACAAAAAAATTATTACTTCTGCCATAAGTGTTTTTTCTAGTTTCCATGCCTTTACAGCATCTATGGTAGCTTTGCCTGACTTTGCTCAGTTGTATCAACTTGTTGTTGTATCAAAGGAATGCTTGATACATACAACAATTTCCCTTCAGGTGTACCTGGTTTACCTGTTACTACAATAGCCAAACCTTCCACTTTACCATTGACCTCAGATACCAGCTTTGAATCCAAGTGAATGGAAGAGTACATAAGTGAAATGAATGTTTTCTTCATATCATCTGAAACTTGCTGTCAAATTATATTACCTGACCTGTTCGCTGTGCTTTTTGAGATAAATAATTTATCTAATTATAATTACCTAATGCTTCAGCTACAGCTAAAATGATCCCAGATCTTTCTCTGCTGGATAGATTCAATCTATCAGCCATTAACCAAACTTTAGGGTTTTCTAATATCTTGTTTTTTTTTTTCTGTCTAGCGACAGTAATTTTGTCTTCATTATCAAATGCTGCCAATACATTGAAACTTTTTTTATTTATGTTTTTCTTTCTAGATTTCTCTTTTTCAATAGCCTTGGTGTTATGTTTCTCTTTTTTCTCCTTTCTTTTCACTTTCATAGCATAACTCTTGTCTAATGGGCCCAAAAATTGCTTTTTTAAATGACACTGATCTGATAGAAATCCTATATCTGAGACCTGACTATTGATACTATGTGAGGTATCTTATCTTATCAAATTTTCTGCATTTGATTTTGCAATATCAAACAACGATGACAGTTTATTAGTAAAACTCATCAGTTGAGCTGCATAACATTTTTTATTTGCATTTTTAATCAAGTTCTCTCTAAGATGAATCAGATGCAGTATCATTCTAACAATATTTTTCTTCTGTTTAGTTGAAATTCCTAAAAAAAATTAACTTTTTCTAAACTGCAGTGTGCAAATTAATTACTGTTGACTTGACAAAAATTTTACAAGTATAATTTGTCGACTTATAAATGAAGCTTTTTGTATATTTTTTTGAAACAATTTTGAAATTTTGAAACAAAAACAAATTTTTGTATATTTTCTAAAATAGCTTTCAAACTTTTTTTTTTTACATATATAATATCTTGACAGTAAACTTTTTAATTACATTTAATTATTAAAAATATAATGGATACATCTTTAACTTTTAAACAAAAAAAAATTGCTTTCTATTTATAATCAACATAGAGAATATTTTCAAAGAATGAGTCATTTTTGAAAATATATACTTAAACAAGTTTTATAGAAAATCTATAATAACTAGATATCATGTATATTTGTTTTCTCAAACTTGTTACTCTACCCCAGCAGCTTTATTCGTCAAAGTTTTTATTTTGGAGTTATAGAGTTGAGAGAGGGTTGTAACCACAATAAAGTAACTTTCTCAATTGTAGCGGCCCTCTTAGTCATGGGGAGGCGAATAAGATTGAAAAAAAAAAATCTAGTGATGTATAAAAGTTGATTCGGTAAAATATTTCAACTAATGAAATACTCCTATATAATAAAATTCACACTTAATACTATTATACATATTACTAAAACTATAAAACAACAATTTACTTAAATTTATTGATTATAAATACCTAATATTTCCTTTAATTCCCATGTGAACACGATCAATAAAAGCATAAAGAGCTTCTTTATGGTCTAACCATATACTTTGAAGCCTGTTACTCATCGGAAATTTGCAGCATTCAAGCTCGATGGTTATTTCAAAAGCATTTGTATGTAAATAGTTATAATCTTGCATTCCTCCAGCTACATTATACCATTTAGCACCATTTGTGATTCCTTAAATAACACAGAAGAATAATACATACTCAATTCATTATGTCTATATTAAATTTATAATCTATATTTAAGTTATTAAATTAAATATTTAATTTCATACACCTTTAGCGATTTTACGTAAGCAGTAAGCCATTTGGGTTAAGCAACTTTTTATCATTTTTCAACTTTTAAATTATTCAATAAGTGGTAAGATAAAAGAAGTAAATAATTAAAAAAAATTCACATTAACTTTTGAATGACGTTTATGTAAAAATATTTGTAACAAAAGTTTGAATGACAATTATGTTTGATATAAGCGTTAATTGCTAATAAAAAAAACTCAAATAAAATTTAAAGTTTATTTTTATTTATTTATTCTATTGTAATGATTGATTTTTTAATGATTGATTTTGTAATGATTGATTTTAATCTTGAAGCAAAGATTATAAAAACATAATTTAATTCTAATAAAAAATATATGAATTGATTTAAAACTAATTTAATAAAAGTATATAATTTTATTCTGATAAAAAAAATATATAATTTAATTTAGATTTTAAAAATATATAATTTAATTTTGATTTAAAAAATATATTTAAGTTTATTAAAATTAAAGTTAATGCTTGGGTTTAACTTTCAAATTTATTTAAAAATATTACTAAATATTATTAAATATTGAAATTTTAGTTGTTCTTAAAAAAAAATTAGCTCATTTTTATCGCAATTGTTTTTTCGGTTTTCCTTCCTAAACATTTTTTTTTTACTCAAAATTAAATTTTAAATAAATGTCTGCATCAAAAATTTGTACAAAACGCAAGTTAAACTTTTTTTTTATAATGCAAGTTAAATCGCAGCGATTATTTTTTAACTTACAACTTGATATTTTAAATTACAACTTAATATCCAATCAAAAAACGAAAAAGACAAAAGATTTTCTAACATATCCAAACTCAAAATTTTCAGAAATGTTTGCATAATGTATGTATAAGAATTATTTTATTTCTGTTATATATGAGAGATAATTCTATCTTTCTCAGATGAGAAACAGCTCATAACTTGGCCATAACTTATTAAGAAAATGTTTTTTTAATGAATTAACAAAGGTCATCATATTTTTATTTAAAACACAAAATTGAAATTCAAACATTAAATTAAGATAAAAACTAATTCTGACAAGAGTCAATTAATTCCTAAAAAGAAGGAGCAAAACTATTTTTTAACAAAGTTCTAAATAATGGATCAAAACCATTTCCAAAAACTATTTCCGAAAAGACCAACAATGATTGAGTGAAAAACTCAGCAAATACAAAAATATATACCTTCTGGAAACCTATCTCCACAAGAGTTTCCTTTGTACATTTCTGGATGTTTGTATGAATAAGTTTTAGAGATAAATCGAAAAATATCATCATCAGGACTCGGACTATCTTCTTCTCTCATATTTTGGTCATCATCATATGGATAATTTGCTACAAGACTTCCACCATGTAAATTTGCCGAAAGAACAAAAGGATATTGTTTGAGCCAAGCCTCTACATTTTGAGTTTCTATCTCTGGATTCAGATTACTAGCAGTTGCAACAAATTGATCAGGAAAATTTCTAGCATAAATAAAATTTAAAAAATGTTTAAAACCTAAAAATAACAAAATAATAGTTATTTTTTATTTTTGTTTAAATAAAAAAACAAAAATAACAGTTCAAATAGAAATAAAACTTGAACCTAAAATAAGAAAAATGAACAAAATATTCTAAAAAAATAATTTAAATGTTTAAAAACTGACTTTTTAAACATTTAAATTGAAAGATTATCTCAATACAACTTGTTTTGAAAAAGATAGGAACAAAAGTAAAATAAAGAAAAGATGAAAAGAGAAAAAGGTATACAAGTTCACATTGTTAGAATTTATGCGACATTCAGTTGAAATTATGTTGATGAATCACTCTAACCATAAATATGGCAATTTAGTGCCCCAAAGAAAGGTATCCAGGCTATTTACCAACAGCAAACAGGCAATCAGGTTTCTGATTTTTTATGATAATTATTTAAAGCATTTTTCAAAAAAAATTTCCTTATTATTTTAATATCATTTAATTCCATAAAATGAATTTTTTTTCTAAGGCAAGATAAAGTTATTTTTAGGTAGACCTTACCAGGCCTCACTTTGTCATAAAAACAGAAGTAAAAGGAGTTTGCCAATATTGTCATGCCAGATGTAATTTCAGATGCAAAAATTGCGAAGACCCCACACTTGAAAATGTTGTTATTAATTTATCGTGGTAATCAAGTGGTTCCAAATATGTGCATTATTTTTAGTATTTACTTTTTATCTATGCAAAATGCGGACATATCCTTAAAAGGACTTGGGTGTTTTTTTTTTGTTTTTTTTTTTAATGTTAATTCACCTTCCTAAGGCTGAGAAGGTCACTACAGTCAAAGAGGTTTTTAATTAAATTAAGTTTAAACTTATTAAGTTTAGATAAACTTAATTAGTTTGCATAAAACATACCAAGTTTTTTTTTTAATAAAAAACTATATTTACACTCAAGGTCACAAATTCAAATGCAAAAACTAAAAATTGTAAACTCGGACATATTCTTACTCCCTCAGTTATTATTTGGAATAAATTGACATCGTTAATGCCAAAAACATCAAGAGCTTTAAAATTAAAATTAACTCTATTAACTTCAAAAATACTGTTCTGGCTAACTAATTTTTCTTGGCTTGGCCCAGAAGGCGTGTGATTTCAAGTCTTTATATGACCACGAAAATTTAACCACAATTTTTAACAAATGCGCTGAAAAAATTGGTTTTTAATTAGGCTGAAAATAACTTTGACACGTTTATCTATACTAATGTTTTTATATTTGCAAAAACGCTTTTAAATAAAGTAGCTAATGATTTTAATTAAAACATCATTAAAAGTTTTAATTTATAATATTTAATTACTTAAGATTTTTTTAAAAGAAAAATAAAAAAAGTAAAAATTATTAAAAAAAATAATTTTTTAAATAATTTTTAAAATAAGCGACGACTTTAAACAGCGATAGTCTCTTTAATATATACATTCCTATATAAATAAACTTTATATAGGAATCATTAAAGCTAATTAACTCGAAATTAAGAGTTATTTTCGAAATTAGAAAGATTTTGTTGAAAAGAAAAAAACAACTAATTTTTTGAAAGCTGTTTGAATTAAATAACTTGGATCTTTACTTATGTTTTTATATTGTTGGAATGCATTTATGTAACAAATCACTGCTAATGATTTTAATATTTTTTTATAAAAGTATTAATAAATAATATATATTTTTTTACATTTATATAAGTATGTAATTTTTGTTATAGATGTCAACTTTTTAAATAAACGATTTAATTATATTTTCTTTTGTTTACGTTATTGCGAAGAATTATAAAGAATCTTTTTTTTAACTTTTAAATGTGCGCATTCATTAAACAATTGTTAGAAGTTGTTACTTAATTTAAAAGAGTTTTGCATAATATTATATTATAAAAACATTAGTAAAGATAAATCAGGTCAGAGCACATGTCAGAGCAGACGGTTTTTTTAACACACTTTAACATATATTTTACAAAAAAGTGTGGACTTAAAAATATAGGTGCTGATTTTTAGTCATACCTGCAAATAACTTGCCAAATCAAAGCTTTTTTAGCAAACTTATAATTTTTTGCGTATTAAAATTTCTTATCTGCTTTTTCTCTTTATTTGGATTTATAATAGACAGCACCAGGAATTTGCTGGTGATTATACTTCATATAAGTTTCATCATCTTCATTAATTTAGAAATTTTAAGAAACATATTTGTCATACAACTTTCTTCAATGGGTTCTTGCTTTTTTTTGAATTTCATTTTGGTACTTTTTTTGATATTATTACTTGAAAAACATGTTTATATTAAAAATTTTCTGAGAAAGCATGAGAAAATCCTCATATTTTATGCGCTCTTTTAGTGAGAGGCTAGGATTCATCATGAAACCTGTTTTTTAACTAGTTTTATATCTTGAAAGCCTCCTTTCCATCATTACCAAAATTGCATTTGATTGATTTTGTTTAGAAAAAACGTTAAACAACATGACTTATGATGCAGAAATGTATTTGCAACTTTTTTGCCACTGAATTGTAGTAAAATTTGTGCAAAATATTTTTTAAACACCTTCTTTTGTCATTTTAAAATCTTATTTTAAGTTCAATGGGAACTAAAATCTTTTTTTGAAATCATTACATGTTGCCAACAAAATAGAAACACAATGAAAAATGTATTAATACAACCACTGAAAAAAAATTATGTATTTACTTTTTCACATTTATTTCATGTACACGCTTTATATAAAAATAATGATATAAAATAATATAATAATGAATAAATCAATTATAAGTATATTTTTACTAAGTTTTCCATTATATATGCTTCTAGTAGAGCATGTATGCATTATTCTACTTTCTGTAAAAAAGTCTGTTATAGAAGAGGGTAAATTTTTTTAAGGGAGTCAAAAACAAAAAGAAGATTACCAAATTTTACAAGCGCTGGAAAGGTTGAAGTTTTTAGTTTTTTAAAAGATTCTGATGTTTCTAACTTAAAAGGTTGGAAGTTCATGATTCTTATGGATTGGCATTAAGAAAATATCAATTTTTTGATGAGAATTTGACAACAGTAACTACAATGTGATAAAAATAATGCCCAGTACATATTCTTAAGTGTGAATTTATCAACATAATGACAAAATATTGAAAGTGCGCTATTAGCTCGAGTTTCTTGCAATTAGCAAGTTTCTTGCGTAGATCATCAATATGAAAATTCCACAGTCAATCAAAACACTAAGATATTTGATAATTTCTGTAGGATATAACCATTTATTATTAATTTTGATTTCAATTTTAGAATTATTGTTTAGGTAGTGTTTTAATGCTACATGCCGTTAATTTAATTAATGCTAAACGTCGTTAGTTAAAAACGTTAGTTTCAACTGCATCATTAAAGAAATAATTCTGTAGAAAAAAAGAATGCAGTAATGTTGTTCAAAAATATTTTCTTTTATTTTAACTAATTTTTTTTTTTAGGTTTAATTTTTTTGATTCTTTGTTGACAATTTTTATTTAGGTTATTATTTTTTTTAACTTTCTCATAGTTTAGTTTAATTTTCTTATAATTATTTTCAAATTTTCTATTCTTATTTCATTTGCGCATTTTTATATTTGCATTATGTTTCCACATGCACTTGGTTTAAATGACTAACATTCCATTATTGAAATTTGATATTATGACTATAAATGACTTTAAAATGTTAATTCATTACATTAGTACAAAACAGAAACTTGCAGAAAGCAAAGTGACATAGTGCTTTTTATATTTTTTATCAGTACTTCGATAATATTATATCTTTAATTAAAAATGTTTATTAAAAAATCAAGAAACAATATATTATTTGTTCTGTCCCAAACTTTTGGATGAGCGTGATTTTATACTCTTGTTATAGGCTGAACAAGCATTGTTAATTGCGCTTAGAAAGTTTGAAAATACTGTTTACGGGCGCATTTCACGAGCATGGCGTGATCACATCTGCTTCATCACAAGCCCTGTAATACTTGCTTATTTATCTAAAGTTTTGTTATGAAAAATAAAAGATTAAGATATATTTAAATAGTAAATATATCTAGTATAAATGTATATATTTATATAGTAAATATATTACTATTTTTAAATAAATCTTTAAACGATTTACAATAAACATGTAAAAAATCTTACATGTTTATTGTAAACAGTTAAACTAAAACTCTGTAAACTAAAAATTCTCTTGTGAAATAATTCTCCTACACAATGAAAGGAAGCTATTCTATTTCATTTTGATTTACTGATTTCATATCTGTATAAATCAGTTTCCTTTTTGCAATATATTCTGATTATTTTACAAAAATATATTTTAAGATACCAGGTGCCAGGTACTACAAGAAAATGGCCGATTTACCACTACATTACATACCGTGTTTTGGGACAAAAAATATTTATGACAAATAAAAAATTTTGTGTGTAAGTAATTGCAACCCTAAGTAACATTTACATGTTTTATATAAAAATTAAAAAAAAAAATCTCTCCGCCATTAATGAGTTAATGTACAAATTATATTTTTTTAGAATTTAAATAAAACGCTTATTTTGCTGCTTTTTAAAAACTATTTTGAAAAAATTTTTATTTTCATATAAATATAATCTGTGTATACTGCAATAAATATGAATTCACTAAAAACAGCTAAAAACTAACCACATTACAATTAATTTAATATTACTTTATATTTTTGATCAAGAAGTATGAAAAAGGAGCCAGATAAATGCAATATAAAATAATTTTTTATAATTTTAAATAAATTATAATGAAAATAAAAACTAATTTATAACAAATAAATATGGTATCTTAATTAATTGTATTTTAAAAATATGAATAAAAAGTATATAACAAAAAAAAACTTTAAAAACAAAAGTGCAAAAAGCAATCATAATTAATCTTGTTTAACGATGTTTTAGTCATTAAGAAAAAAAATCTATATACATACCGATTCAAGTCAACGTTGTTTGCATTAGCTCTTCCAAGAATAGAACTGCAATCACCTTCTCTAGCTTTTTCATAACCATCAGGATTCATGCTAGGCATAATGTGAATGCGAGTGGTTTTAAGCAATTGAGTTATCTTTTTATCACTTGATAGATATTTATCACATATATCATCCAACAAATATAATAAAAGTTCACGCCCAACAACTTCATTACCATGCATATTTCCAATATATTTAAAATTTGGTTTTAATGACATTTCTACACCAGGATTTTCAGAAATCTCCATAACATAAAGTTGCCTATTTTCAGTACTTCGACCTATAGAATACAACCTTGTGATTTCTGGACATTTTTTGTGAATTGATTGCAAATAAACCTCCATGTCTATATTGTTATGGTGTCGAAAATCAATTGTTTCACTTCCATACATTAGTGCGCAAAAAAACGCTAAAAATGCACTGCAGATCATTTCTTACTGTCCAGCAGTAAGCCTACTTAACTATGCACTTAAAAAATGTTTTTCTAAAATAAAATGAAAAATTTTAGTAATAGAAAAAACTAATAACATGCTTCATATACAACATCATAGTTTTATCAAGGACCCGTTTAGTTTCCCCAAGTCCCCAACATAGGTTTGGACAGGAAGGGCGTGTGATCGAACTTGTTTGAAACTGTTTTTCCATGTCTTCTTTTGAAAGATAATTTTTTAAGTTACTTTAAATTATGAATAAGTTAAATTAAATTTTCGTTGCAATGGAATGATTTAATTGCTTTATTTTTTTTTTGTTTCTTTTTTTTACAAGGAATTGTTAAAAACTTTTTTTAAATTTTACTAACTAATCAGAGCATGAAATGATTAAAAACTACATATTAATAGAATACAGTATTTTTTTTAATAATTTTTTTTGCAACTTTTTGAAAAAAATTAATGTTAATATAATTTTAAAATAATACAACACGTTTTTAATGTAATTTAAATAAAATTTGTTGATTGATTAAACCATCGCTAGAAATAATTTGTATAAGCGTTTTGCATAATTTTAATAAAAAGTTTCAAAAGATAGATTTTTAAGTAATTTATTTTTATTTACAAAAAGTAATTTTCAATTTTTTATTTACATTTTTTTTTTATTTACATATTTAATTTTCGCTTCGAGTTTTTTGAGTTTTATTTTGGTGCTTATTATTTGCTTTTTTGTAAAAAATTGTTTTCTTTTTTAACTATTATTATTTTTTAATTTTCTTCCTAGTTTAAGTTTAGTTAGCAATTCTTTTTACAGCCCATTTCTAAAATGTTAAAAAATCATTTAGAATCTAAACAATCATGGTCAAGTTGTAAAAAATTAAATCGTTGGAGTGGTCAACAACAGCGCTCGATCCCATGCCACTCCTGTCCAAGCCTGCACCACCAACACTAAAATAATTATTAGAAAAAAACTCTATAACTATAAAGAAATAAAAATAATTTGTATACAGAAGTTATTACAAAATTTTAAAAATTTAAAGAGTTAAGTGTGGGTTGTAATCACAATAAGGTAGTCTCCTCAGCTGTAGTGTAACCACAATAAGGTAGTCTCCTCAGCTGTAGTGGCCTTTGGAAGGTGAATAACAAAAGATTAAAAAGTAATATTTTCAATCTGTAAAAATATTTGAATAAAAATAGTGATAATGTATTTCCAAATAATTATTCAAATATTAGTAAACCTACTCTGAAAGCTGTTATTGTTAGTTATAATAGTTAATAACAATTAATTAATAATAATTAAGTTAATAATAATTAAGTTAATAATAATTAAGTTAATAATAATAGTTAATAATTAATTTAGTTAATAATATAATAGTTATAATGTTAATGTTGGTTATAATAGTTCAATTATAAAATATAATTAAAAAATTAAAAAATATCTTGAAAATAATCCAATAAAACCCAGGTAATCTGGGTTTTATTGGGTTTTTTTAGGCGGGTTTTATTTGGTGGGTGTTTTTGGGAAAGCTTTTTTATGCCAACCCTGGAGATAGAACAATACTTACCTTATAATATGTTATTTATTACTTCAATTAGAATATTTTTGAACATATTTCATTGCTGTATTTTATTAAAATTATTATATTAGTTATATATGTAATAAAAAATTCAAATTCACAAAGAATAAAAAAAAATAAAAAATAAAGTTGATTACATTCTTACTAAATGTTTAAAAGAAAAAAAAGAAAAAAAAGAAAAAGAAAAGAAAAGTACAATAAGTATTTTACGTTAGTAAAGCATACAACAATGTGATCGGATTGACAGACAGACTTAAGTCTAAATTTATGCAAAAGTGACTGTGTATTTAAAAAACATCTAATACTTGTATCAAACTCCTTTGTAATGTCATTGAAGATCTTAAGAAAAGTTACAACAAAGTATTTGCTGTTGTAAAATGAAAAGAAGAGGAAAAAGATGAGGGATTTAATCAAAGAAACAAATATCCAAACTTTTTAACATATGGGTATTCTGCATATTATTTAAATCGTTTAATTTTTTTGGTTTCTTAAAATAGTATTGTAAAATATAATATTAAAAATAATACTGTTTTTGAATTAAAATAGTTCTTTTATAGCCAGCTACTATAATATGCTCATGTTTTTTGAAATGTTGGTTATAATAGTTCATAAAATTAAAAAATATCTCAAAAAAACCCAGCTTTCCTGGTTTAAAGACCATTCTTCAAAAATTATACTTCCTGCTAAAACCTTACTTAAATATATTTAAAATACTTTCCTAAGTTATTGCAACATCTAATTTTTTTAAATTTTATTTTTTCAGAGATTAATTATTATATATTTTTTGAAAAGATTGTAACCTCATTAGTTTTTTTATGGAAAAAGAAGTAAAAAAAATCACTAGCTTTCTAAATTTTTCTTGAAGGTTTCTTATGAAGCATAATTGAGATTGACAGTTTAAAAATTTGATCCGGCATTTGTACTTAACATTAAGAAGGTATCTTGGTTCAAATGAAAATAAATAATAAAAATGTTAAATGAATACAAAGAATATATTATATATTTATTTATATACAAAGTTAGTTATTTAACAAAATATAAAAAGACTTAATAAAAAACATAACCTTAATTCAAATTAGACCAATCAGTTAATGCATACATGTTCCCTGCAAATATCCCATTTGACAACAAAAGTTTTACATTACCCAACAAAAGTATTGTTAGGTAATGAATATACTTTTCTTTTTGTATAAAAGTTGAATACAGGAACATTTTAAATTAAAAAATAGTATGTGTGTGTGTGTTTGTGTGTGTGTATTTGTATTATGTATGATATTGATATTGCAAAGTCTTCGCAAATAGCGGTTGCATTTTTTTAACCATAAAAAAAAAGCTAAAGTAAAGATCTTTATCTTTACTTTAGCTTTTTTTTTTATGGTTAAAAAAATGCAACCGCTATTTGCGAAGACTTAAAGTAAAAGACAAATTGAAAGATAGATATATATTGCTTTTATAAAAAGTTAATCACCAATAAATAATAATCAACAAAATAAATAATCTTTAGAATTAATTTAAAAAAAACAAAGAAATCAAGATAAAATATTAACAAAAAGATAAACAGAATAAAAAAAAAAAAAGAACTCTTAAGTAAAAAAATATAAGGAAAAAAAAAAAAAAGTTAACAAATAAAAAGAAACAAAAGAAGAAAAGAAAAGAAAATACAGAAAATTACAAACGAAGAATAAAATTATCTATTTAAAATTTTTAATACTATATATTTTTTATGATTCCTAGTTGATTATTTTATCCTTTATTCTTATACTATATACTATATTTATTTATTATTAACTTATACCATACTTTACATATTATGGTTTTGTTTTTAATTTATATTTTTACATGGTAATTAAGCACCATTGTAAGTTTTGCAATAAAGCAGTGGCCAATCATCAAAAATTTTATCTGATTGTTGTTGTTCTTGGGTTCATGTTAAATGCAACTTGATCAAAAAAATTTCATATAACCTTCTTTTTAAAGATTCTTCTGACTGTTACTGTAGTGACTGCATAATTATGAATGTGCCATTTAGCACACTTTTGGACTTTTTCTTTAACTATATAATGTCAAACTCTACCAACTAATACCTTAAATTCTTCAGAAAGTCCAATACAATTCAAAAACTTATTTGAGGATATAAATAAAATCTCTAACACTATTTCTAACTGCAAATATTTGATCTTAATAAAACTTTAAAATCAAATTCTGAATTGTACCTTCATCTAAACATTGTTTTTTTGCACTTTCATATTGATGATCTTTGCAGTCTCATAAGTTCACTTACCATTCTTTCAACATTTTCGGAATCAACAATTTCAGAACCTAAATTGTACAATAACAAGCCCAATATAACTGACATAAGTAGGCTGTTTATACCAGCATCCTTCAATGAACCCAAAGGAATTTATTTCAGATCATTTTAATTCTTTAGTTCTGAAAATAAACAGGTTATGCTAATATGTGATTTTATTATGGACTTAATAAACTACAATGAACCCCTTATTAAATCTGATTACCTTGACTCACTATGTTCTTATTTGTTTTTCCCAACAATAATTCAACAAACACAACCTGTAAATCTTAAACAATTATTGATAACATCTTTTCAAATTTCTTATCTTATTTCTGGCAACCTAACAATATCAATTTCAGATCACATGGCACAGTTTGCATTCATAGTACTCCTTTCAAAAGAAAAAAATTTATAATAACTATACAATCATTTAAGAATTTAAATGATAATGAATTTATTTAGGATATTTCTAATATTGACTGGAAGTTTCTTATTAAAAATGGTGGTAATGTCATTGAATCTATGAACTTCTTTTAAAAAACATTCAACAAAATTCTTGATTGCCATGTCCCATACAAAAAACTGACCAAAAACCAAGTTAAACTTAAATCTAAACCTTGGATCACTAATGGAGTTCTGTCAATTACAGTTAAAAATAAAATCTACAAAAAGTATATAAAATCTGAAAATCCCCAACACAAAAACTCAAAGATTCAATAAATTTAAATTGAAAATGAGGTGTCTGAAAATGAGGTGTCTGATGTAATAAAAAATAGTTTACAAAATGCTAAAAGCAAAGGTCCAAATAATATCCCCAAACAAACTCTGTACTATATTAAAGAATTCTTTTAATAAAAGTCTTTTTCCAAATGTTTTTAAGATAGCCAAAGTTATTCCTATCCATAAAAAGGGTTCTCTAATGGACCACACAAATTTCCACACAGATTTCCCTTCTATCTAACATTAGTAAAATAATTAGAGTAAGTTCAGGTTATCCAGCTACTAGTAACATGCAACTCAGTACAACATGCTTCATGTCCTGCTGACTTGTAGAATACGCACTTTTAGGCAAAGGTCAGAAGAAGCCAACTTCAACTTAAAACACCTCCTGCCATTTGGGCTCTTAATTGAGTAAAGACTAGAGATGATGTCTCGATAAAAATACTCTTCATGGGCAGATGTTAAATGCATCCTACTACTGTCTTGTTGAAGGTCTCC